TGGATCTCATTTGTATGTTGCATGCATCTTTACATTAAGTGGCAAATTTGATCCCTTGGGTCATCATGCACCATTGATGGCCCGAGGATCGAAGGTCTTACTTCCTTGAGTTCAAAACATGATAGGAAGCATAACCATGCTCACATGTGCCTGAAAACCCCATGCCATGCACTATCTGTTCTCTATTTGCTGTCAAAACTGTCTTCTGCAGGAAGTTTCCTGTGATAGCTGGCACCAACTCTGCCTCCCTCCATACACGTGTATGGAGGGATCTCCCTCTAAGCAAGCTTGTTGTATAAGCTTTGCAAGAGGGAGTCTTATAAGAGGAAGGCTCTCCTCTTTGATCTAGGTTAGAGACTTGCAACCAAAAACCAGAGCTTAGAGATATAGATACATCCTATCTCTATATCTCCCTCCCTTAAAATCCTTCTAATTCTTACAACCTGTCCCTCGATTGTTCTCGCGCCAACTGGGGGTCTACGCTCTTCTCATTGATGGTGGGTATGCAGGATGTGACTCTTAGACAAAATGGACGAAATGAACATGTATGCAAGTGAACCATGTCATGCCGATGTAACAATGCATCATGCCGAGATGATGCACACCCTGTCAGAACAAGAAAAATGATGCAATCCTAAAATCATTGTATAAGGACATCCTACGCTCTTTAGGACCCAAAGTGTGTGCACTAACGTACTATAAAGGAGCGCGTGCTTCTGATACCCATTTTGTCACGACCCAAACCGCCCTAGTAGTTTGGGCCGTGATAGCCAGTAATCGAGATTACCGAAGCCAACTTTACAAAATTCACACACCAATCAGAGTATAGATATAGGGGGCTCCACAATGCGGAAGCAATAATCTAAATACAAGTGGTCCATAAGAGCAGTGCATAAGTCAAATGAAATGGCATACATTTTTACATAGCTTTACAACTTGAATGCATATAGAAATGAAGTACAAAATACATATTACATCTTGGCAGAGGCTTTCAAGCTGACATGTTCGAAATAACATAAGCATCAAAATTGTCGACATAAACATAATACATTGAAATACAAATCAAAGAATACAAAATCTTCAGGATTTGTCGACATCCTCAAAGCCGACATAACAGCAAAAACACACATCTCGGCGTAGCCGACTTCTTCCTTGTTACCTACATATAATAC